CACTGAACGCCATAGTTGCAGTCAATGTGTCGACGATCACTTTCTGCTTTTGTTATCCTGCCAAATGGTTTGGACAAAGTATCCTTTCTCCTTGTTCCAGAACAATTTCTCAAATAAAGTTGATAGGTCCTGTGTCTCTTTCTCTGTAATTCAGCTCTTATAGTATCTTTGTAAGACTTCTCTTCCATAGCAGCCGCCAACAATCTGTGGTGGCCTTGAATTTGTGTGAATCCATAGTACTGCAGTAAGACACTTAAGGAAGTCCACGCGTCGATGCCTTCCTCCCAAATCGAATAGTCTGGCTTAATAATATTCTTCCAATCTCGATACAACAAGAAATTCACCAAATTTCTAATTCATTGTTTGTTGTTTCATCCTTAAATAATCATGCTGTGGTTCAACAAACCCCACATATGTCCCATCTTACCAACTGTACGTCATTGCAAAGAATTCACTGTCTCGGAGCTCCGTTTTTGCAAGCCATTTTAATAATTTTTTTTGTCACTACGAAACTTTGTATTCGTATTCAAAACATCCGTTTTATCGAGGTGAATTGTAATAATTTCAAACAACATTTTTATAAGTATTTTTATTTTTAGTTTTTTTTGGTTTTGTTTTTGAAATATTTTAAATGATTATAACATATAACAATAAATATTATAATTTATTATCATTTAAAACTAGCCAGATTTTTTCACTGACTTGTTATATAGTACTTTTATATAATATTCTTTAACAATTTATTAATAAAATCAATAATTATAATTATAATTATAATTGTTAATTTAAAATAATTTAATTATGATCTATATTAAAACACATCAATAAACATACTGACTGACAGTTTTCAATTAAACAAATTACTTATAAATATGGTAAATATATGATTCAATAATAGCATTGATAAAATTAAAAAAAAAACTAAACAATAGAATGCATATAATCGTTGTAGTTTTGTTTCAAACACTCTGTTTATGCACCAATGATGAACAAACTTGTTTCACTTATTTACTTGCGAACAATAACTTTCTTTTGTTTTATCAAAGTATTGCACGTTTATAAAACAAACTAATTTTATCAACAACACCAAGTATTGTGATTCAATGTTTTGTTATAGTCTATTCTACTACATTTTATTTTAATTTGCTATATTAAGCCACTGTCTGATGTTTGAAAGTTATAAAAAGCAACAATAAATCAAATTTAACAAGTAATCGCAAGGTGACAGCTCTGTTCTGGTTGATTTCATTTAACTATATTTTAAGAAAAGTGTAGTTAATAACAAATTTTATTTTAATAAGTTAAATTATTATTACATCGTTATTAAACAATTTCTAATATTTTATAATATTATCAATTATAATTAATAGTTTTATTTTATATAGTATAAATATTATATTAATGAACCATTTATTCATATACTATACATTTTAATATTTTATAGTTTTGTTGTTAACTGTCGTTTTAACATTAAAAATGATAGCGGCAAAAAGTTTCCATCTGTAAAGAAAAAATTTTGGAGATCGTAAAAACAAACATAACTATGAATTTTACAAAAACTACTTTATTTTTGTCATAAAAACAAAGAAAATATACCCTCTTTCATTTTAAATGCGTTTTTGGGACAAGCTTTGAATTTTTCCCTGTTCGTGATAGACCCTGATTAAAGTCTGTTTTCTATTTAAAAAAATTAAAAAATGCATTTTTATTATATCGACTTTTGGATAAAAGTTAAATTCCAAGTTTTATCTAAAACAATATTGAAAAAAAAATATTATAAAGTTTTCAACAATATTAAGTTATTTGTGTATGATTATAATATAATAAAAACAACTTTTTGGTAATGATTATAACGTCTCATTATCGTAAATATGAATAAAATTACAATTTTTTATTTATAATTATAATAATAATAAAAACCATATAAATTCAAACACAAAAAACTTTAAAAACAGACACATGGAAAGCAAGTTAACAACTCTTTCAACACTTTGCACAGAAACAGATAAGTCTGTTTTAGACCTCCAAAATATAAAAGAAGAAAACGGATATGTTGATGACAAGTCACTTGACATTGCACACCGCATTGAAAACGCAGAAAAATACTTTGACAAACTTGATGTAATCATTGAAAGAAAAAACAACATTATAACATCACTCAACGCATTAGTTTCAAGTTCGGATTCAAATAAATTTAGAGGTGATTTGAGTTCATATTTAATAGAAAACGATAACAAGAAGTTGTATGACATATGCAATCTCAGAATTGCACTTTATGAAGAGAAGTGCAAAAACGACATAAAACCGTATCAAGACCAAATTGACACAATCGTGCAAACAAAAAACTTAAAAATTGACCAAATAAATAAATCAAAAAATTTCATCAGTGCAAAAACACAACACGACAAAGAATTTGAAGAAATGAAACGCGAACACATCACACTTAATGAAGAAAAAAATCTTGAGAAGTTGACTGAAAAGAAAATTATTAGTGTTGTGTTTGACTCGGACAAAGACGATTGGTCAAAAGACGATTCTGTGTTTAATAAAAAAGTTATGAACAAAAGCAACTTGTGCTTTTTGGTAGAAGACACAAATCACAACAAGTTTGGTGGCGTATTTACTGGAAATATAAATGTTGCATACAAATATATTGAAAGCTCCAATTCATACACATTTTCACTAGTTAGAAATGGCATTTCATATCCAAAAAAGTTTTGGGATGTCATTAATAACACCAATTGTGAATTTTGTCTTGGTTTTGAAACGACTTATAATCAATATGGTTTACCAACAAACGACAAGAGTGATTTTTTTTAACATTGATTGTGGTTATGATTTATGTGTGAGCAAGAGGGTTGTAAATGGATGTTTTTGCAAACAATCCACCTACACTACTAAAAGTCGAGTAAATGAGTTAATTGGTAATAGTGGTGATTATTTTCAACTTAAAAGTGTTGTTGTTTACCAACTTAATTGATTGTTTTTATTGTTGGATGTCAAGAGAAAGAACAGACATGAGGAAAAAAACGGGAAATGGGCCAAAAAACGTCATTTGTGATTTAGTGACGTTTTTTTTATTATTTTAGTGTTCACCTCGTTTTTGAACTATATAACAAATTAATTTTATTATTATTAATTTGCCACAAAAATATGATAATTAGAAAATACGTTTGATCACAGACAAATTCTAAACTACAATTGATTAAAAATAATCAAAAACCAAATGATCTAAGAAGTAAAATAAATAGTTTTAAAACTTTAATCGAAAAAAATTTTATAAATAGAAAAGTGTTTTTTAGCATTTTTTGGTGTATTTTTTTACTTTTTTTTAATAAGTTATTTTTTTTCGTAATTAACGGGAAATACATCCTTCTTTAATGGTTAAAAAGATAATAGCGGTTTAATCCAAATTCGGCCAAAAAATTGTTAAATTAAAAATTGAAATTAAATAAAAACAATAATCTAATTAATTGTTGTTGTTATTCTGATTATTCAAAAAACGATTTTATTACGTTTTTGAAAAATAAATTAACAAACATTGAAAATTGAATTGAGCGTGTTTCTAATGTTATGGCTGTTCGGCGGCTTTTGATATTACTGAGAAGTCGGCGACTTTTTGAGTCTTTTCAAAAATCGCCGACTTCTTTTCGAACTAAATAACTATTAACTTTAATAAATTATACCATATTAATTATAGTCTCAAAAATGTGTAAAAACACTATAGTTGTTATAATTTGTTATATTATAATCATATAAATATAATTTAAAAAATGATTTGAGAAGATATAATTGGGACGGTATTGTTTCATTTCATTTTTTAATAATTATATTAAATTTATATGGTTTATTTTTTGAATATCTTTTACATGATAAATGGTATTTTGAATAGTTATTTAACTAAATATTTAGGTCAGCGACTTTTAAGACCACTGAAAAGTCGGCGATTTTCAAAGGAACTGTAAAGTCGCTGAACAGCTATTATTTTAAGGGTGCTGGCTTTCGTCCGCAATCGCAATTATAAATAGAAATAGAACAAGTGAAATGTCCCGATAAAATAAAGTAATATACTTCGACATAAATTGTTATTTCATCAACAAAACTACAGGGAATAAAACCAAACAACAGGGTAATTACAATTGTCACTTTTTTCTCATACGTATAAACACAAACTTTGTTTTTATTTATTTGGTTAGTCAAATTAATATAATCAAAGACAATTATGGCAAACTTTACTTGTAATTATAAAAAGTATAAATTAATTATACGGAAATATAATTTAGTTTAATTGTAACATAGAGTCGACACCAGTATGTTTACTGCGAAAGGAAACTTTTTGTTCTTCCGTTAAAGAG